ATGTAGGTGTAACTGTTCGGAACACATGAAAGATCGTTGAAATATGAACCAACATAAGTTGTATGCCTTATGAAAAGTAAAGATTCACGAGGGTTATAGCTGGTAAAAATAGGCTACAGTTTTTTTATTTTTGTTGTTTGAGAACCGGAACACATATCTCCAGCGGGGGGGGGGGAGTGCAAGAGAACCGTTCTCCAGCCTTCGTCCTTGTCAAGGACATATATGTGTCTTCGGTCTGGCTTTTATTTTATTATTTTTATACGACTGTTGTTATAGTTCTATTCGGAAAGCTTCTAATAGTATTGTATGCTAATGGTTTTACTTTAATATTAGGGGATAGAGAAAAGATTTCCTTTGAAGCCAACGGAATAAGGTCAAAGGTGTATTAAAAATTACGACCTCTGCTTTTATCAATCTTTTGCCTGCCAGCAATCTACCTGGTTTTATATTTGATTTTCTGTCTGCTTGTTGATCTATTTGTCTATAATTTTCTCTCTTCCTCTTTATCCATTTTGCTATCCAAGTTTCTGTCTGCTTTCTGGTATACTTTACTATCAATTTTATGTCTGCCTGTTGGTATAATTTACTATCAATTTTATCTCTGCGTGTTGGTATACTTAGCTATCAATTTTATGTCTGCTTGTTGTTATACTTTACTATCTATTTTATGTCTGCCTGTTGGTGTACTTTGTTATCAATTTTATATCCGCTTGTTGGTGTACTTTGCTATCCAATTTTATCTCTGCTTGTTGGTATACTTTGCTATCAATTTTATGTCCGCTTGTTGATATACTTAGCTATCAGTTTTATGTGTGCTTGTTGGTATACTTTACTATCAATTTTATGCCTGCTTGTTGATATACTTTACTATCAATTTTATCTCTGCTTGTTGGTATACTTAGCTATCAATTTTATCTCTGCGTGTTGGTATACTTAGCTATCAATTTTATGTCTCCCTGTTGGTATACTTAGCTATCAATTTTATGTCTGCCTGTTGGTGTACTTTGTTATCAATTTTATGTCCGCCTGTTGATATACTTTGCTCTACAATTTTAACTCTGCTTGTTGGTATACCTTGCTATGTATTTTATGTCCGCATGTTGGTATACTTTGCTATGTATTTTATGTCCGCATGTTGGTATACCTATGGTGTCAAAACTAAACAATCTTATTCATATTTTAATTTAAACTTGTGATAAAAAGTATTTGGCCTTTTTAGATGTAAAAAATGTATTCCATTTGTAATTGTCAGGTTGATTTCTGTTATGGGATTTTTGCCGTGTTTTAAACATAACTTTATCTAATTCGTCCCCTCCTCACTAGGGCAGTTATAAGTCTGAAGTCTTACAATGCTATAAACCGGGATTCGATACCCGTTCAGGTTACAGCACAGATAGCCCATTGTGTAGCGTTGAGCTTAACAACAAACAAACAAATATAATATTAGCGAACTAAATGTTGTGATCTCATGGTACATGTCGATTACAACACATTTGGTTTCCCTAACACTGAAATTGTCTTTATTACATTTGGCCAGCTTTACAATTTAACACTAAATCTAAGTCTGGCCAAATCTGACACCACATTGTTTAGCAAGCCTAATCCACTCCAGGACGATTTTAAACATTACACTCTATATAAAATGTATTGGTAGGTGTCAGTTACACAAAAGAATAAAATTCCCCAAAACTTTACGACATTCTAGAGCGGTGTTAACTTGGCTTAACAACTTAGCAATAGCTGTTTCCTAAACATGTAAACAGTCGTAAACCTCGTCTCCTTAAAGGGATCCCGCTGGTCTATGGCCGCTTTGGATTAGTTGGGTTCATTCCGTCGTCTGTGCGTATCTTGTTCTACCTTGGCAATGATCGTAACTCAAAAAGTATTCAACAGTTTGTAAGTTACGTAAGAAAAACACTTTGTTATCCCTTTTTCTTTCTCGATATTTACCTTTCGATTAAATCTTTGAAAATAGACCAAATCCGAAGGGATATTCTAAACTTAAATTTAAAATTAATGTTTGATTATCGTTAAATGGATATTTTCCAAGTGACTCTAAAGCTAGAAGAATGTATTTATCAGTTGATGCGACACAGAAGTTTCAAAGTGTCAGCTTATCAGAAATAAGAGCCGCCTGGAGGGTCGGAGGTTCGAGGCGTATTGCAGCACTTTAAACTGTAGGTGCGTTTAGTCAATTCTATCTTTCGTTAATATGACTCAAACAAAGGCCTTATGACTGGGTGCGTTGCTGGCTGTTTTGTCTCTGATCAATAATTCAAAACTAGGAAATACCTGGACCCAAGGGATCTTTAACCTGGTCGCTTGTCTTTCCCATTTTTTAAATTGTACTTACTGTTTTTCCTGTAACTCGCGTTGCGTATTTCATTTGAGGTCTTTTTTTTGTGTGTGTGTTAATACAGCAGCGACTTCGTTTAATTCATATGTTATCTATATCTGATCCAGTTTTCAATTTATATTGTTTGGACTGTTTGAACTTAAGCACAAAGCTACACAGTGAGATATGTGTGCTCTGCCCACCACGGGTATCGATACCCGGTTTCTAGCGTTGTAAGTTCGCAAACATAAGTTCGCTGTGCCACTGGGGGGCATTTCACACGAAAAGCTCGACAATAAATGATATATCAGATAAACAGATAATGTATCTCGACGACTGTGGATCCCTACTCCTTCATATACCTCCTCTTCAAGGATACATTGGTAAACTTTTTCTAAATATATAATCTCGACAAACAAGTCTTTCTGGAGAACATATAGATGTGAATATTTTTTAACATATTAAATACGAAAAAACTCGTTATTAGCATTAATATAAGTATGCTTCAAAAGACAAATTAAATAAAACTATGTTTTTAAAAATTCAAAAGTGGACTTGCTTAAATTAGCTATTATTATTGTTTTACTTTTCATCTTAGAGCATTAAAAACATGAATTTAGTTATAGGGGGCGCCAGAGAGTTAGGTTCCGATTTTTTAGATGTCGCAAATATTAGTTACAACTACCAAATCTTAATTAGTAATTACATCCGCCAAATGTAAGCACTGCTGTCCATGCTTAAAATTCATAATGACGCAGAAGGTAAAACGCGTATTGTTGCAAGTTTTATTTTAAACGTTCAGTTTTAATGGTTTGGTTATATTTACGTGTTCTGGATAATGGTAAACAATGTATAAGAATCCACGTGTTCTGGATAATAGTAAACAATGTATAGGAATCCACGTGTTCTGGATAATAGTAAACAATGTATAAGAATCCACGTGTTCTGGATAATAGTAAACAATGTATAAGAATCCACGTGTTCTGGATAATAGTAAACAATGTATAAGAATCACGTGTTCTGGATAATAGTAAACAATGTATAAGAATCTACGTGTTCTGGATAATAGTAAACAATGTATAAGAATCCACGTGTTCTGGATAATAGTAAACAATGTATAAGAATCACGTGTTCTGGATAATAGTAAACAATGTATAAGAATCCACGTGTTCTGGATAATAGTAAACAATGTATAAGAGCCTTTGTTATTAACATTTTGATTAGTTAAGACGTGATTCTTTTGTATTTGACAATACTATCTTGGATTTAAGATTTGGCTATAACCACCTTTTTTTTAACAGCTGGCTAAACCATCCTTGTTTAAATGGCTGGTAATACAACGGGTGAATATGTTATGGTTACTTTTCTTGTTGAACCCCGCCCTCTGCCCCTTATTAAAAACTATTAATAATGTCTACGTGTGTGATTTTTGTAGCAAAGTCACACCGGACTATCTGTTGTATCCATCAAGGGAAATCGAACCCCTGATTTCAGCGTTGTAAATCCGTAGATTTCCTGCTGTCCCACCGGGGGACTCTATTAATAAAACTCTTTGTACAGGTCTGCTTCAGTAAAAATATTATTTTTGAATACATTTTGTTGTTCCCAATCTTTCTGTCAATTTTTATTTACAAATGGACTGATCGTAAGACATATCATTATTATTGTTCACTTTGACTGCGGTCCTCATTTGGAACCTGTCAGAATTAAAACCTGTTTGAAATTAATCATTTTTTAATTTCCTGAAAAATCCCTTTGCTGTCAGTAAAGAATAATGTATAAATTTTTATGCTCTTTTTGAGATATTTTCGTAACGCATGATTATTTAACAAAATAGTAGGTAAGATATGACACGTATACATATATATATTCGTACAGAGTTGTAGGTCGAAATTTAATAGTACAATATAAACTATTACGGTTATTTCATCCAGATTGTTATGATCCTGGCAGTTTCTTTGTGATCATAAATCCACCTCCTTTATAGTTTTGAGTTGAAGCTGGTTGTCAGTTAAAGGTTTACATTAGCCGTTTTATATAGACGTTTCAATCAGAGCTGGTTGTCAGTTAAAGATTTACATTAGCCGTTTTATATAGACGTTTCAATCAGAGCTGGTTGTCAGTTAAAGATTTACATTAGCCGTTTTATATAGACGTTTCAAGCAGAGCTGGTTGTCAGTTAAAGTTTTTATGTCACTTGTTTGGTAAAGACCGTCGAATCAAAGTGCTGGTTATCAGTTAAAGTTTTTATGTCACTTGTTTGGTAAAGACCGTCGAATCAAAGTGCTGTTTGTCAGTTATCAGTTTTTATGTCACTTGTTTGTTAAAGACCATTTGATCGTATGCGGACATTTTATAAAAACTGAAGCAATTAAGTAATCAACAAATGTTGCTTTTTGTCTATTTTAAATGAGTATTGACAAGGAATGAATTCTAATGAGTATAAATACATATAGGTTTAAACATGTATTCAAGTCTTGACTAATCAAGTTACGGGATAAAAGAGTTATACATTTTGATATAAAATCGTGCTACATTTTCTTTCATTAACTCGTAATTAGATGTTTTGTTATTTTTTAGTGTATAATTCAGTGTTTTTGTTTTTTCTTTAGTGCTTTCTTTTTAGACAGTCTTTTAACGAAACACACTACTAACAACCGAGAGATGACATTTCACACAGTTTATTTCATACAAACACAGGTTATCATAGCATGAAGAAAGTACAGTAAGATCTACTGGTAGAGAGCCAAAATGCTCGGGTTTGCTTAAAACTTCTGAAAACTTTGTTGTTTTACGTTCCCGGGCCGGGTCCATGATGAACAAATACATGTATACATACAGCACACGGGATTTATTCAAAACCGAAACTACAACCTACTATTCTAAAAAAGAAAAAACAAAAAAAGACCAAATTCAATCTTGAAAAACATCAATCAGTTTTATTTTATTTATTTTCCAGTACTTTCAAATTCCAAACAGTTAACCCAATTATTTATATTAAACATAAAATGTTAAACTTTGAATGATAATTGATTTGCAAATTCACCGATGGAAAGTAAATAGAATAGGATTAAAATTTTCAACCTGAACGGCCAAGTCAAAGACCCTTAATTAGGATACAGGTATAGCTGTCCTTAATTTTGAACTACTGACCAGTAGGATAGGAATCAGTCAGCAGTACCCGCCGCCACAAGGGCTTTTTCCGGCTCTTTGGACCGAATGACGGGATTTACTGTCAGTTTAATAACGGACTTACGGCGGAAAGCGTGGAGCGTGTTCAACGGCATATCGTTTCGAACCTTGGATCCTTCGATCCACAGACCGGCCCGAAAAGAAACAGAAGGTTCAAGTTCTCTAGTCAGAAAACACAAAGGTGTAGAACGTTCTCCAGGCCTTGGCACTTCAGTTGCCCCAACTGGGAGGTTTATTTCTATTTACATTTAAAAGGCCTGGGAAGTTAACACTAGTTTTTAAGGCTCTAAAACAACTGGATTTCGGTTTAGGCGGTTCATTATTCATCGATTTTTTTAGCAACTTTACGAATTTTTTTTATGGGAGTGGTGAACCACCTACAACACGAAACGTCCAGTTACAGAAATTAGCTTGATTAGCAGAACAGTCAAGTTGAGGTAGGCTTAGGGCAGTAATCACTCGTCTTCAAATCACAGAAACTACTCAAAGTATTGTAGTAGTCTTGAAACTACTACTAGTTTACAATCACGTGACTTGCTAGCAAAACTTTCACGGTTGCGCCAAGTATAAATTTTCTCCTCTCTACTGTACATTACTCCATGTTGCGTCGTGACGCTGAGAGTTTATAAAAATAGTGCATACTTAACACCAGAATGCGCAGACCGCCCAAACTAGGTCACATCACAATACAGAGTAAGCAACACTCTACAATAAACTACATCAGAGGTGACAACAAAAAGAAACCAGAACCTAAACACAGCTCACTCTAATTTTTGATTTTCTGTGGTTCTCTCCATTCGGATGGATTAAGCCCACTCCTGGCAACGCTTTCACCCCGATATATTAACAATGTAGAAAAATAACTCCTTGAAAGGGGTTGAAAAGCCTTGCCAGTGTGAGATTGAGGCTACAAGATAAGAAAAAATGCGGGTTAATTGACAATAATACATATATATACTCTTAATTTGTATGATATATATATATATATATATATATACTAATATATATTTATAACGATATAAAAACTTGCAGTCTGCGTATCCATGGAAACAAAGTGTCATCGATATCTTCATCCATTAAAGTCGGACAGGGTGGACTTCAGATGTGGTTATCACCCATAAAATATTGTGCACAATTTACGTTGAAGTACGCCCGTCCGACTGTTCGGCATCAGGTCCCTTAAAATTTAACGAAAATCACATAATTTTTTACTGTTAAGACGTGTATATATGCGTTTGAATAGATATACATGATTATTTAAATCAGTTTGGAATTAATGTGTATGTGTGTGGGGGATAATGGGCCTGTATTACAACTTCTTTTACAAATAATGCAACTCATAAACGTCTTCTACTTTTCACTACTAGTAAGTCAGAAAATATTTGAACTTTGTAAACCTTGCACGTGTCGGGCCCAAGAATTGACGATTGTACATTCTAGCACCTCTTAAAATTTCAACAGTAAAAACGTACAGTGCTGGTGAGGTTGAATAGTGTACAACCATCTAAACCCCGATTAATTTCTACAGTATTTACAATAAGGGCCTGAAACGAAAAGGTTTATGGCCGAAAAAGTTATTTTCAAAAGGGTTTGTTTTCTTTCTTCCCCTCAGAAAAAAACAACAAAAAAAAAGAAAAAACAGAGGGAGAGAGAGAGAAATTCGAAGATTCATGATAAAACTTAGAAAGCAGTGGGACAAACAGTTGTAAGCTATTTCACTACCCTATTAACTACTAAGTATGTAAATGTGTGTGTGTGTGTACGTATGACATCAAATCTGACTTAGAGAACTTGACTAACAATAACATCGCCTATATTCACTAAAATCTATATGACCACATATTATTTTCAAAAGAAAAAACTCAACAATAAAGGAATGCTTAAACAAATGTTCCCTAAAGAAGGCTAGATTTTTAGAATAGAATAAATACGTTCTTGTGATAAACAGACACATTAGGCTTAGCTATGTAAACTAAATTAATGATACGGCCATATTAGGCTTAACTGTGAGAGGCAGAAACATTAAATACGATATATTTATAGATCTTAGTCTCTCGGATTTGGATGTAAAGCCCACATTATGTGGGCTTAGCGATTGAGATGAGGTACATAATATTCTTGTTAATCATGGGTGTAAAATACAGTTTGATTTTCAACCTTATGCTCATTCAACTTCATTACAAGTACAACACTATGATGTGTATAAGAATCATCCATATGAAAAAACCCATTTTTGCACTGAATACTGTGTGGGCAGCTACAGCATGTCAAGCCTTAAAAAAAGGCATACTTAAGCTTGTAACTGTCTGTGAATTTTTAAAATTATCTTGAATCCCAAAATACCCACCATTATTTATCTAATAACCCATTAACTGAAAACAAATAAAATAAAAATTATCTACACAAGCTACAAACTCATAGCTGTATAAAAAGAAACACCAAAGACACCCTTCTCCATAAACGGTCACTATCACCCGTAGGAAGTCGACAGTACATTCCTCAAATACGACTGTTTTTGGTGAAGGGGAGAACTTTGAAACAGTGTTCACCTATTAATAGGTATATATAGAAAAAAATCCTTTTGTTAGTTAGCCAGTTTATTTACTAATTTTTCACCTAAAAGTAACACAGCACTGCCTACCGGAGTACGACATATCACAATGTGATCTGACCGTTTGGTGCAATCAATATTTTTTTCAACCACCCCAAACGGCCATGTTTCTCCAAATTGACAACTCCGGTTGGCAGTCATAAAGTCCAGAAAATGGAAACACGTAGCCTCTTCTAGGCTAGGAAGGCAAAGCTGGCAGAGTCTAGATATAAATAACGGCTGTAGACAATATAAACACGAGACCCTCGGATTAAGAACGCTTTTAATCAAGCATCTTTATCAATTTTTAAGGGACTATAGAAGGTCATCACGGAATATTATAATTTAATGAGGTAGACAGCTCATAAGGCTATTCCTGCCATTAACTTTCATCTCGAATCTCCTAGTCATTTTTGAGAGATAAAATTTCATCACACTCCATACCTTAATTACCTGACGAGGATGCAGATACGAATAAAAGCCACTCCCCCTTTCTCCCCCCCCCCCCAAACCCTTCCCCCTGTCTCAGCACCATGTCTCTTTTTTCACAGATCTTCCGCCCAGCTAGTTGCCGCAGGACCATATTAAAGTGTGATTGAACGGAATAGGAAGACGGTTACCATGGCAACCCATAACTGCCAAGTGACGACACCATTTCTCCCTTCAAGAACTGACCATTCTTCGCTATAAAACACGTTGCTTTTACAACATTACATTAACTTTTGTCGCAGTTTTCATTCGCACATACTCCAGAATTTTATATTTTCTTCATTTAATTTCTTTAGTTGCAAGGTAAAGAAAGCTTAGCACTAAGAACATCAGTTGTCTGGTGCTAAACGGTTCTTTTCTGTCTTTTGTTGTTATTTTTAAACTTTTGCTGAAATAAAAAAAAAAAAGTTGCAGGTGTTTAAAAGTAGAACATTTCTCCAGGATATATGGTCAGGTTATAGACACACACAATAACATAAAACATTAGTCAAGTAATTTTCAATCACAGACAGACAAGCAAATCTTCAGATCATCTGAAGAGGTAAATATAATAACATTTTTACATACTCGGACCAAAACTTAGCTCTGCCAATTAAAAGTTGTAATATTACAACACAATCTTTCAAAGAATCAGATTACAAATGTCAATAATTACTGTACATCTTCAAAAGTACCAAACACAAGCATCATCATCATCCTCCCAGGTTCGAATTAAAAAATCTTGGGATGGATTGTCTCCACCACCAATATTATACATACTTATTTACAGCTCTCAAATAAAGTACTAGGTATTTGTCTTCTTTGGGACAGTGCAGCGCCACCTCACGCCTGTAATATGTATTAGTAGCTCATAACAGACTTATTTCTCATAGAAGGGAGAGGGAGATTACGATAGCTAGAATATGATTATTACAGAACAAAAGTCTTAAGTAAATATGCGGTTATTGCATTATTATAGCTGTTATTATTATAATATTTTTGTTGTTTGTGTGTGTGGTGGGTGGGGGGGGGGGTAGTGGATGGCATTTTCCTAGCTCTTTAGGCTCGTGCATTAATTCTTCCGTGCATCCGCTCCCGAAAGAGATGCAAAAATGTTAGGTTACCAATATTTCTCCCTTCCATTATAAGCAGTGAATAATATCACACAAAGAATACAAAATAAAGATAATATAAAAACAAATTCCAACCACTTCAGTGTTTTGAGAAGGCACGTGAAGAAGAAAGGTTTGCCTTGAAGTTACTAGATTTCTTGAATTGTTATTTACTCACATTCTCCGTGTTTTCTAAGCAACTGAAATATAATTTATCTATACAAACAAAAATTCTGATTTTGAACGTAAGAAGGGGAAGAAATCCTAATTCTTAATCTTTTCTTCTTTTCGAAAAAAAATCATGTATTGTATGTAAAGTAACTATGTAAAGTAACACTTAAAACCGGTTTGTATCTTCACTAACTACTATTGTAGTATTATTCATATCATTAGGTGGTAGAAACGTTCATGTAAACAAAAGTAGAATGTATGGTTTATCAAATGTTTACACACACACATACGGTTAACGATAGTCGTTATATGTTCCAGATGTACGTTAACAGTTTCTTACATCAGATAACGTATAACTATCGTTATTTTCACTTCGTATTACAATCGTTGATAATTGTATTAATGAATTCCAGTGTTACTAATTATAACATCTCATTAAGACTGATCATGAAGAAGCATGCAACAAACAAGGTATCTCGAACTGTTATAATATACCTTTCTCAATGAAAATCGCTAATTGTCCAGTAAATGACCATCAGTAATATGTTACTACTATATGTCACGCTCCGCTAACTAACGGTTTCTACACCCCTAAGACTAGCTATCTATGATTGTATGGGTTCTATTGGGAGTATAATTATAGTTCTGACACGTGACTCCGAGGACTTGAATTTTAATAAATACAAGTCACATGCGATAGACACTGTATTTTGACACGTGGTTTCTCCTTTGACACCCTGTAGGATCACTATGAGAGACTTCCTCCGTCCCTTCACACACCACTCTCCTGCGACGATGTGTGTACTGTAACTAATGTGTAACTCCGGGCACTAATAAATGCTGCACTTCGTCTGTACCACTTCATTAGCTCTAATAAACAAGCAGCCATACACACACATCTCTCAAAAGAACTAACGTATCGGTACTCCAAGGAAGCAAGCTTATTTTACAGAAGTAGTCCCTTAGTTTCAAAAAAAAAAAGAAAGAAGAAAGTACCAGGGCTGGTAGCTCGACGCAGATGCTGCCCTGACAGGCATGAAAGATTTATGACAAACAACGTGCTATTAGCTGTCCAGTTTGCATCACGTGATCACATCTCATGGACATTCAGCTTTCCACTTCACGTCGTTTTGGCCAATACATAATATAAAATGTATCATCGGATATACAAGTACGTACTCATTCCCTGTATACATAATGCAAAACATATTTCATAAGTACGCAGACACAGACGTAAATGTAATATAAATCATACTGATTCAGTGAATAAACATGTAACATACTCTGTATTAATTACGTTTTAAAGCATTTCCATTTCAGGATCATACAAACACAGAAAACATATATAAGTATAGGTATTAACATTTGATAGTGAACTTAACGAGGAAGATAAATTACAGGAACAGAAATACATTTATGGTTCACTGGAAACGTACATTAGTACACTCACACCTCTAGCAAACATACCCTGAGGATGGCTAACTGGTAACTTACAAAAATAGAATCAAACCTGTTTATCAAACACACCCGGAAAATGGCTGACTGGTAACTTACACAGTTACATACAACCTGTTTATCAAACACACCCTGAAAATGGCTGACTGGTAACTTACACAATTACAATACAACCTGTTTATCAAACACACCCTGAAAATGGCTGACTGGTAACTTACACAGTTACATACAACCTGTTTATCAAACACACCCTGAAAATGGCTGACTGGTAACTTACACAATTACAATACAACCTGTTTATCAAACACACCCTGAAAATGGCTGACTGGTAACTTAGATAAATACAATCAATCAAACACACTCTGACGATGGCTGACTGGTA